ATGAGTTGAATTAAGTGCAAATTACAGAAGGAGAAAACTCAAACAATGATTAAATTAAGTGCAAATTACAGAAGGAGAAAACTCAAACAATGATTAAATTAAGTGCAAGTTACAGAAGGAGAAAACTCAAACAATGAGTTGAATTAAGTGCAAATTACAGAAGGAGAAAACTCAAACAATGATTAAATTAAGTGCAAATTACAGAAGGAGAAAACTCAAACAATGATTAAATTAAGTGCAAGTTACAGAAGGAGAAAACTCAAACAATGATTAAATTAAGTGCAAATTACAGAAGCAGAAAACTCAAACAATGATTAAATTAAGTGCAAGTTACAGAAGAAGAAAACTCAAACAATGATTAAATTAAGTGCAAGTTACAGAAGAAGAAAACTCAAACAATAGATGATGACTGAGTATAGGGTTAATATCTTTGTGACAAAAATACTGATTATTTAGAAGAGAAGGTAATCAGATAGAGAAAGATGTTTGGAATGATTTTTTCACGTGGCTCCCTAAAGGAAACATAACACAGAAAAAGTACGATACCTCTTAATCATGTAATTAAAATATTTTTCGCATGGTTTACTATAATATTTTTTAGAGCAGAGGCTGATCTTTAAATTTAAATGAACCTTAATTCCTAAACCAGAATAAATATTGTGAAATACTACTTACTATGTCATCAACTCAGCTTGTAGGCATTAGACACACCTCTAGGCCTTGCCTATGTAACACATTTCTGATGTATTACATCAACCTGTTTAAAACTTATGACAATTTTTTTTTACTCCCTGAACAAAGGTTCTCGTAAGAATAAACCTAAAATATAGGGATGGTAATTTGTATTGGAGAAAGAGGAGTTCGGTTTGATGATTTACAATAGCATGTTATTAAGTACACTCACACTCGGACAGTTTCACAATTAATACATTTTCACCTCTCACTTCATCAATTATATCGGTGTTTCTCAACCACAGGTTTCACGGACTAGTGCCAGTCCGTGCGATTCCACAAAAACATACAAATAAATAAAAAAAACAAACTGATAGAACATTCACGTATAAACTGTACAGTTTTTTGTTGTACCTCAACAGTTTAGGGAGGCAGTGAGCCAGTCCCTGGTATTGAAACGGTCGAGAAACGCCAAGTTATATGATACAAAAGTAAAACTCTGTCTCATACGACCTAAAAATAAATATTACAAAAAAACATTTACATTCATTTGTCACTATAGCCAGCTGAAATCGGTAACAGCATGTAACACTGCATTACATTTTATTACCAGTTGTTTGTGTGTGAAGGTCCTTACTTTCACATCGCACATCTTAGAATTCTATTCTCTCCGAGTCACAATTAACATTTAAAAAACTTTCTTACTTCCCAGAACAAAAAAATTATTTAAACTATATTTTATAATTTTTTTTTAGACAGTCTTTTTTTGACTTACGGTGAAGATGCTGGAAGTGTAGTTGTAGTAGACTGGCTACTTGATGGACGACTCACCCCTAGAAGGTTACTTAAGTTGGCCACTCCAGAAACACCACCCACGCCTCCTGTTAATCATGAATAATATTATAAAAATATACTATGAGTTCGATTATGTATAAATTGGCTGTTATTACAATACAGCCTTCATAATGTGTAATGACAAATAAACATCTGATAAGCATAAAGATGTGTCAAATCGGCACTGTGCCGATTCAAAATAATACATTGTTAATTCACTTTGCACAGGAATATCATTGTGTATAAAATAATGACAAATTTGATACTTATGATAATCATATTTTTCTCTACTTCTAACTAGTCAAATGGCATGTCCTGTTAAGTTTATTATCTCATTGTACAGTGAAGATAAACCTAAAGTATCTGTATGCTTGACTAACTAGATGTAGTTAGTAATCGAATAATTTCTTGGAAATGGTACTAGTACAACACGAACGTAATTATCTTGACCAACTAGATGTAGTTAGTAATTGGTTAATTTCTTGGAAATGGTACTAGAACAACACGAACGTAATTATCTTGACTAACTAGATGTAGTTAGTAATCGAATCATTTCTTGGGAATGGTACTAGAACAACACGAACGTAATTATCTTGACCAACTAGATGTAGTTAGTAATTGATCATTTCTTGGAAATGGTACTAGAACAACACGAACGTAATTATCTTGACCAACTAGATGTAGTTAGTAATTGATTCATTTCTTGGAAATGGTACTAGAACAACACGAACGTAATTATCTTGACCAACTAGATGTAGTTAGTAATCGATTCATTTCTTGGAAATGGTACTAGAACAACACGAACATAATTATCTTGACCAACTAGATGTAGTTAGTAATCGATTCATTTCTTAGAAATGGTACTAGAACAACACGAACGTAATTATCTTGACCAACTAGATGTAGTTAGTAATTGGTTAATTTCTTGGAAATGGTACTAGAACAACACAAACATAATTATCTTGACCAACTAGATGTAGTTA